CAGAGGAATACAAGAAACTTGCCGAGCGGTGTTGTGATGCTGATCCTGATAAGCGTCCAGATGCAGAAACACTTTATTATGATGTTAACAAGCTTGTTAAAGATGTGGAAAACGACAATTCTGACATATGGAATGCCGTTTATTATAATGTTGTAAAACCCTTATCACGTCTCGAGAAGGAGAGTAAATATTCTAGTACGCTCTTACCTACTAGAGATCTGCCTAAACCGACAAATAGCTACGATTTGGATTCAGCTGCAGGTATGAAGACATCAATTGGTTATGGATGAAGTCAATTTACAATATTAACGCCATGCGTTTCTTATAATTTAGTGACAAACTTTTTTTGAATAAACTTGTAATTCAACGGGCTTATTTACAGTTTTATTCAAAGGTTTGCTCCTATTCGAATTATACGATGTGCTTCCACATAGTTAAGTTCACAGGATGCCGAAATAAAACCGTGCACGTTTACTGTTAGGATTAGTTGCCTTTGCCAGGACTATATAAGAAAATATGTATTAAAAAGTAAATCTTAAGACTAATGTTTTACGAAAATGCTAATCGTTCCTGAATAAGATACGTAGCAACATTCGAGCTCGGTTCGAAGCATTTCAGCACCGCCGGATGGTGCGTGCTTCTCGACTTTGTTTCATACCAGTTCTTTTCCAAATGGCCCATGCAGTTGGCCAAGCCACCTCATGACACAAGAATCCTGGAGATGCTATAAAAGCAGATCCCACACCTGCTCGAATCTTCCGATTGAAGAATATCTCTGAAACTCCTGTAAGAACTAAAACCTTAGGTCATTCCACACAGTATTACGCAAGTGATGAATCATCACTCACATCCCTCAAAGACATATCGCCACTCTTTTCATGATATTGCTGCATAGCCTTAATATTAACGGCCCCGTAACGATGCAAGTTTAACGGCATCCAACGGAAATAAAATTGCCATAAACGGACGTGTATTTATAATTGAAAACAATTTCCCGCCGCTGAACATTGTATAATAAAATTTCCTAAATTAGAATTGATATATTCAGTTGTGGGTTAAATTAAAAATTATTTGTGTTTGAAATAAATTTACAACGTGTCTTAATTATCCTATTCGCTTGTTCACTCCATCCTGACTAGCTTCATTGTTAAATCCTCCTCCAATCGCCGAACGCTTACCTTCTTCATCTCAGCATTACATTCTCAACTTCCGCCATTATAACTTTTGCATGTTTTTCATTTTGTCTTCCTCTCATTTTTCGCATTTTTCACTCTCCTTGTGCTTCTAGCTTTGGCCACCAATCAGGTAAAAACGGCCTCACTCTGAATTCATCTCCTTTTCGGACTTGTTCTTTATCTTTTTTCCCTCCGTTCCCACCACTATCGCCACTCATGACGACCAAATCTTCCTTTTCCAACGCATCCAACCTGAATAGTGCCAATCCAGCATTGCATCTTGTTACTCTGGTCCTACCCAACTCTTTTCTCTTTGTGTCCCTTAACGAATAAATAACACGCCCCGGATGTATGTTCAAGTTTTCAATCGTACGGTCGATGGACAATCGGTCCGGCCTCGCGTCATTGGATCCATAAAATTGAACGGGTAAAATGCGTTTCCGTGTGACACCAGTATGATAAGTTCGAAAAGTCAGTTCTTGTCCCAAGTAACAGCCTTTTCGAAAATCAATTCCATCCATGTAATCGAAATTAGATTGTAACGGAAGAGCCGCCAGGTGGAAAGTCGATTATTCCCTCGGCACACCATGGAGTATTCTTCGTATCATATATTCTTCTGAAGGTAGTTGCGTAAATTGGGATGGAAGTGGCGGCTTTTTCTTCTCAGATGACAACACTAGTCTGAGTCCCATTCCAGGATACCGTCGATCTCTACATCCTATTTCGTCTATACCTTCTTTCAATACCAATTCGCTTGCCGTAATTTTATTAGCTGTTGGGTTGGGTATCAGTCTTCTCCACCAGAGATTGCTCACATCATCTCCCCATATGTTCCAAATGTTGTATTTGCTAGATACATCTTTTATGGTTACTTTTGAACGAAGTTTGTATTTATTGAGATGAGTTGCGAGGGAGGATAATACAGCCGAGTCGCATTCGATGAGATATATAGGATGAGGAAATGTTCGATTTATATTTTTTGGATATATGAAAGCATCGTATAGTACTCGCCCGAGCGAGTTGAGGAATGCAGTGTAGAATCCATCTCCACCTGACTGTAATGTATTCATGTTATTTGTGATAAGGCCTTGGAGGAATTTTGCTGAATCATTGCCTTCTATTTCAATAAGACTGCGATTAGACACTTGTACGTAATGATTGCCAGCATGTTGAGCATGTTCTTTTTCGGATGATCGGAGAAAGGGAGATGAAGTAGTAGTCGCGCTGAAAAGTCTAATTTGGAAACAGCGGGTGTGGATGATGCATTTTTTATGAATTGGAAACCGATACCTGAACATCTTATGCAGGGCTTTTTTTTTTTTTTCATGGTAAAAATCTGCTGATCATACTTTTAAGTCGCGTGATACGGTAACCGTATGATAATTTTAATAACATGCACAGAGCACAATCTAATTTGTTTTGTGTTCAATTATTTTTATGAGGGTTGCAGAGAAAACGACAATGTTTTTATGCCAGTCAAAAAGCCATAATTATAACACTGCGGCTACAAAATGAATCCTTTACGAACTAAATTGATCGAAAGTTCAAGCAAAGTAACAATGATAAGTATCCTATCGCCCGTATCGACAAAACTTACATAATAGCAGCCCTTTAAATTTTGTAGAAAGTGCGTTTTTACAATAACTCTCTTTATTGCGGAAACAGGTTTCTACATATAACGAGATATCCTTAAACCTCATATAATACGTCGGGAGTACGACTTGATACTAATGTTATATTATTATAGCAAATAAAATAATCACCGTTATGTTTTCGGCAGCGTACTCTGATTCAATATTCTTGATGATATTGAAAGGATATAAAATGTTACCGTAAAACTCAAAAAATGTGTACCCGGGGGTATTTTTGGGTACTCCTGTAGGGGAGGATACACCGTATTAATATTCATCTGCCCGACACACAATTGCTGATTGGAGTGACACGACGCGAAATAATTGACATATTAATATTGTCAATGTAACTGACTTGACATATGTATTAATCACAATGATAAATTGCATCATAACATTATGCTAAGCGTGTATCTATTACTATGTACTTGTAAATCATCACTAACAGAAAAATACAGAATGGGGCATAAATCAAAGGGCCAAAAATATTGTTATTATATTAGCACCCGGGTATAAACCAAAACCTGCCTTCTGAAACTGGGGGGACATATGTTGGAGGTTTACGGTATTACTCGCTTTCTAAGTATCATCAGTTCTGATAATTGTTTCTCGTTGCAAGAATATCGCTACTCGGTTATCTATATCTTTTCTAAAACCATACTTCACTCTTCCTCACCCACTTTGGTAGATCTTTTGTATAATATAGATCTTTTCTTCTCTGAAATCTACGGCGTTTTATTCTGTCATGGGTAAAGCACAGTCTAAGCTGTTCAAAAAGCGTTTACGTAACTTCCAAATTTGTAGCGTTAAAACTGATATATTAATGTGTCAGCTAGTAATATGAAACTTCAAGTCAATCGTGTGGCGCTTGCTACGATTGTGGCTGCTTAGTTAATCAATGGCACAAAATTTAAACTGTAACGGCAATATCTCAGTTCATACCCCGCATTGTCTTCATTTATTCATTTTATATTTTGTACGCTTTTTCTCTAATTGGGACCAATTCCACTATATCGAACAAAACTACATTATAATATCCATTATATATACACTATAAGAGAAGACACTATGAAACGTAGTGTGTTACCGTATACAATTTATTGAATAGTTACGTTATACGAATACGTCCAGCGTACACCTAAAATACCCGGTTTATTTCGTCACACTCTGCACGACAATTAACGCGTCGATCAGACGATTGTCAACACAAAAATAGTTAAATGCATTTCTTGTTAACCAGAAGTGATACACAACACGTTTTCGGAAGACATTGCAATCTTGTTTGAATGTCCAACATAATGCTTAATATCGATGCACGTTTAGCATGCAAGAATAATCCAATTTTCGACCTGAATTGTGTTTATTTAGAGAACCATCTTCGAAAGAGTTGGAACTTTCTTGAATCACGGATCATGTGATTAGCAGGTAAATGAGGGGAACTATTTGTACATTGTAACACTGCGTTCAAGACAATTACCCATTCGCTCAAATGATATGCAAATTAGGTGCTATATTACTTAATTGTGTACCGGTTGTCTATCCGATATAAAGTCGAACGTTTGCCTTGATAGCCAGCCACATCACTATTGACATTTCCCTCATGTCGCCACTAATTGCAATCAACTCGCGTGCTATTAACAACGTCACGCAGGCAGACTTTGATGCGCTCCTCGGAGCCGAGTATGTCCATAAGGGCTGGGATGCTTTCTTTAGTCTTTGGGTCGTATGGGCTATTCAATGGCGAGTTACTTGTGCTTGTTTGCTTGTTTGCTTGTTTACTTATTTGTTTACTTACTTGTTTACTTGTTACTTGTAAACAATTGTAAACAATCAAAGATTAAGTGCTAAGAAAACGTACTAATGTTTTATACTTAGGCTGTTGCGACTCTATTTCTCATGGCCAACCAAAGATGGTAGAGATGGTAAAGATGGTAAAGATGGTAAAGATGATGATAGTAATAATAATAAAATGTCTGCAGAAAAGTGTGCTCGTGTTAGTATACATTCCATATTGGTTATATTGATATACCTACCAACATTAACATAGACTAACCTGCATTTTCTTGTCTCTTTATAGTTGGAAAAGAGATTCAAAAGATCCTACATGATATCGACTCAATTGTTGTTGGGTCTCCTCTCCGCCCTGTCTTTCAATAGTTTTTCTGGCGGTTCGCATAAGGCAGTCGGAATTATCAGTTGGATATACTTTGGAACTGGTGTATTCTGGATGCATTTACTAGGGTGGCCTCGGTTGAATGGAAATACAATCTTCAGAGTCGTTGGTGGCACAGTTCAAAGTGGCCTTTTACTTGCTATATTCATTTTCGCTTTTATTGATCAACCAAATTGATAGCAATGTGTTATAATTAATTGGGCTTTTTCTTTCTCAGACTGTGAAAATCAGTCACGATAATGGCGAATAATGACGAGTTGAGATTGTCAGGGTTCCTATTTTGTGTAACGCGAACTCGTGTAAAACAAATAAAATATCATGATGTTTATGTCATGTTGACCTATTCCTGACGATTTGTCGAGTAATCAACATAAAGAAAGCATGAAGGCGCTACACATTATAAATAAATACACTAATCTATCTTCACGCTGCCTGCGATAAGCAAAAAAATTTTTTTTTGACAACCAGCTCGTCGTCTGTCTCAAGAATCAAAATATTTACGCATGGCCACTACGGGCAACCCTTCGAACAGACCGAGTGATCACTATTCAAACGAAAGCTTTGATGTATTTACCAGAAGCAGGAGCGTTCGTAATACATTCGCCGCTCTCTTCTGCTTGTGGGTTATATGGAGTCTCCTATGGTGAATTTTTGATCATTTCCATAAATTTGGGCAAATGGTTGTCACGTTTTCGGATCGAACATGATGCTAATGGCTTGTATGTACAGGCTATTGAGACTCTGCTTCTCAAGATCGGCTAAAAGTGGAGAAACCGATCGCGAATCCGCGGATCGTGGGACAACTGATCGTGCGGGAGCTACCAACTCGGGAGGACGATTTGTTAGTATCGGCGCGCGTCATGATCATTAATGTGTTTTTCTTTTGAAATTTGCAATTAAAAACATATCACGCAATCAAATCTGACTTTTTTTCTTTCATCGTCTGTTCGCAGCAGGGAAAGAACATCAAAAGAGCTCATGAATATGCTACTCATTTACTGTTGGGTCTGCTCAGTGCTCTTGTTGTTAATAGTCTGGGTCGTGGCTCAGGGGTCTCGGTTGAAGTTATTGCCTGGGTATACTTTGGACTCGCTCTCATATGGCTTGCGGCCGAACTAATGGGTGTGCGAATCGCAAGATTGATTCTAGGCCCAATCGAAGCTATTCTTTTGCTTGTTATCTTCATTATCGCGTGGTCTTGGGGCTGGCCTGTATGGGTACCCTGATTGAAAAAATCGAATTAATTTTATAACTATTATTTGTTTTAAGGCTATTACTATGTTATTGTTTATTACACGAAAAATTACATTATTATACTCGAATAAAAATTTAATACGGTTTTTTAGTACTTTGATGCTACTGTCTGTTTGATAGTGAATGTAACTTCTCAACAAAAATATCAAGCGATAAAGTCATGCGAGACTTTTGAACTTGTACTTCTGCTAGAAAAGACTGGAATTTAATTTCAGCGAACGGTTTAAAACCATGGTTGTAGATATTCAACTACATGATTTTGATAAGTCATTCGCTGGTGCTCAAATGTTAATGTTGAAAAAACGTGCCCAAACATAAACACACCATTTGACAACTTGCGTCCTAACGCGTAACGTGCTCTATTTGCATTAAGTGTAAGTTTGAATATTCCATTACAAATCTCTTCTTTCTTTTAGTATCGTTCTATTGCCCTTCCCCTTCAGCAGCTTCTTTGGGCTTTTTAGGCTTTTTTATTTTCCCTACTTTTCCATTTTCACTACATTCCGTGCTGCTCACGGCCTCTTCACTTTTCTGCTCTCCCTTCTCTTTTACTACCAGCTCAACAGACTTCCACCTATTCTTTGCTTCCTTAATTCTCTCCCACCTTCCCAGCCTGTGCTCCTGACCTGCCCCTATAACTAAATATGTCTTCTTCTCGCTCGTCAGAAAACTGAGCGAATTTATGAAACCGAGAACGGGAATACTGGATATCAAGTCGAAAGATCGCAATCCAGACTTTATTTTCCAGAGTCTGATTTGCCCATCCCATGAGCCGGAAGCAAAGAGATTGGAATAGCGAAGTGTAGCGAGAGATATTATCCACCGGGGATTATCAATTTTTAGCGAGCCTGAACAGAAGGTTTCTACGCTACCGTGACTAAGCGGATAAGAGTAGACAGGCTTTTTCTTATTCACATTCCATAAAGATATTGTGCTAATGTGAATAGATTCATAAGTTACGAGTAGTTTGCTTAATGAATATGTCCAAGCTTTTCAAAAATTACCCGTTATCGCTGCCAGTCAGAAAATTGTCTTCATCTATCATCGCTACAGCATCCAAGCCACCTCCGGGATGCACCTCTTTTTTATCTCCAGCACGGAAGACAAGTTGAGACTCTTTGGCTATCTTCCATAATCTACAAGTCCGATCGCCACTACCAACAGTGACGCACCGCTCGAAAAACAATGCATCTATTGCCATTACCTGGTCTTGGTGGCCATAGCTGTTTATCAAGTAGTAAATTTCAATTAGTGACGCGCGCACTAAGATGTGTAACATTCAGGGGCATAGCTACCTACAGTGTCTCAACATAAGACAACTCATCAATGTTCCAGACTTTTATCGAGCGATCCTTTGACGCTGAATATAGTTGATTAGCGCCTTTTCGAAATGCGAGAGCCTATTTGTTACCGGATCATGAATGATGGAGTTTGTGTGAATTGCATTTCGCGCAACGTTCAATAGAATACGTACCGTCACTGCGTCTTTATGCTGCCAAAAACACTTTAAGAATTTGTTGTCATCAACATTCCAGATATTAATCTTCTTATCTGCTCCACCACTGGCCTGCAGACTTCAAACAAGTTCATAAGATCTCTGTACTTTTTCAAAATATGCAATACAGTCATGCCCCTATTAAAAACGCACCAGGTATTTTCCATCTGAACTTAAAGCCAAGGAGAGAACGTGATCCGTGTGTCCATCAAACTGCTTCACACTTTTTCGTCCACCGGGGAATTCATGCAATTTCCGGCCAGTATCCACGTCCCCTTTTTTTTTATATTTTTTTAACAAACTTAGTAAACTGGGAGAAATCATCAAAAACAACACCAAACATAGAACGCTCACATTTTTTTATCGAGCAGTCCTTGGAGGCAGTATAAAAGTACTTGAAGTTATCGGCTATTGCAATACAGGTCACGGCCAGATCATGACGTCCAGATTTTAAGCTCGTAGGATCAATCGGAAATTTAAACTTGAATTGATATTTTTCATTCAGTATTAACAAACGAATATATATGTATGTGTAATAAGAAAAAAAAAAGAGCCATACCGTATCAGCAATTTCTTTAAAAGCTCGGCCAGTTTTTTCGAGCTACACAAAAAAAAAAGAGAGAGAGACTGCATTATCAACAACAAAGCACACTTTGTTTTACTCATTTCTCAAAATCAAGTAGTCACTCACAGCATCAGTCTTTAAACGCTCTGCAATCAGATCCCTGTCAATTTCAGCGGCATCAATTTCACCTTCACCTATTTTAAATTGAAATGGGCTAAGCATTCGATCCGCTATTCCGGCCAATTTTCCTCGCAAAGTAGCTAATGCTCTTTCTCAAATTCTACGCTCTGACAAACACTCCAACACTAACCAATATTATTTTTCACAGACTCGATATATTGCTTCGCCAATCTTCGTCTTTTTTCCGCCGGGGTTTCTCTTTCACTTTCACTTTCTGTTATTGATCCATCCGTTTCAACGAGTCCAGTCTCGTCGTCGGACAAAATTTCTTCGTCGTTTGCATTTGATATGGTCGGCGTGGGTTTTCCTTTTCGTTTTTTTGAAGAGGTTGGAGGTATTGTTCCTGTTGTTTTTCGTTTTCGGGTAAAGAAAGGATCTGTCATGGTGTGCGAGTTTAAAGTATGAATTCTGTACACACACGCATGGAAAAAATACAAAAAAAAATTTTTTTTTTTCGAAAATCTCATTACTATTACGTAATAACAGAAGTTACACTGTATAATCAATTACGGCAAATATCATCTAATATATTGACATATGAAGTTATTATGAAGCATAAAGAATGTTGCGATCCACGGAGGCTCGGAAATATTTGACATAGAGTAACAGTATATTAATATATTAGGTTGAAAAAAGTACAACGTCGCGTAAGCATACCGATTGCATTCGGGCTTATCTTGCCTGTTGTGGATAACTGCATTCTCTATAGCTATGCATGTTCTAACGACATTCAAGCTATTCTTTCTATACCAGAGAAAAGAATACTCTCATCTCCGAGATATTGCACTGCATCAGTATGACTATCAAATGTGCATCGTATTTTAGTGGTTTAACATCAAAGACCTACTACTACGATAAAATCACGCTAGACCGATTTATAACTTATTTCTGGTAATTTTAGCATAATTACAATTTTTTGCCAATGTAGCAACACTTTTCCATCGCGGCATTTTCTTTTTACATTACCATAAACACCCCATACGTATGGATAGCTGGCTCGTCTCGGCTGACCTAAATTATCGATTTCTACTGGGACCAACTCGTCATAGTAATTCTATACCACGTTTCAGAGCGCAAATTGTGGCTTGACTGTATATAATTTAAAAAGATTGACCAGTGCACAACAATGACGAGTTAACGATAAACATTATTATAATTCTTAAGCTTTATTAGTGGCTAGTACACTTTTTGCAAAGTGAATGGTCTATGCAAACAATTATTTTTATAATTGCATCGAACAACAGAAAATTGTGATATACTCTGGTAATGTCAGCGCTTCAAAGAGTGTACATTTCCTCTTTCTTTTTAGTGTATTGTTGGTTCCGGCAAGTAGGCACCCTGTCGCTTTATAATGAACTTTACGATCCTATTGCACGCACAAGCCAACTCATAGACCTTACTATTCAAACGGTGTGAATCTAATCGTACGATAAATGGGCGTACTATTGAATGTCGAACTCGTATTAGCCATTACACGATTTAGGATTATCGATAAGTGTAGTTCAGATTGTAGCTTGTGTCAGTGCAAGCAGTGATGATTAATTATTGGAGATCATGTTTAGCATTTGGTTAACTGTAATAGTGGAGTAATGTTACGATGGTTTTATCACGTGATTACTGTAGTTAGTAGAGGCAAATGAATTACACGAATTTGGCACGCGAAAGAAGTCTTGTAGTCTTCGTTTAACCTGTCAGATTGCAATATTGCCGTATAATAGGTAATTAGATGGTAATTTATTATATTTGAATGTTGTAAAATAAAACTTGAAGCTTTGCATTGAGAAGAAATATAAAAATAGAACATTGATAACATTGTACTAAGTTTAATAATTTAGAAAATTCATGGAGAATATGGACAGGAGCTGTGTTATGTTTATGTTGTATTGAGCGTTGAGGCCCGTGCCATTCATGTGTAATAGTACGTTTAATTTAAACGTTAAATAAGGGTATAATTAAATCATATAAAACGATCAGTAGTGAAACATATAGTTCATCGTTTAAATCATACTTATACAAAAAGCAGCTGAGATTCTTAATTATACGACTCCTTCGATTAAGGAATTATGTCGTTGTATAGTTTTCTTATTATTTGTAAGTTGCTAGCGACAGGGCTATGTCTTTTAAGCTAAAATTAAATTCACCTGACAATTCTTTCTTTTTTCAAGAGTAGTCAAAAAAAAAGTCAACCTTTTTATTGTCGCCTAAAATTTGAGTGTGTCTCCTTCCCTACATATTTATTTGGCAACAGATTGGGGGAGGTAGGAAGGGTAATTTACCTCCCCGAGCGCTAAACTATCTCCCTTACCAAATTTAGTAACTCAAAACGGTACCGAGGTACGCACATATTACAATAGTGAAATCGTACCTCGAATCTACGATATCTTAATTTTATGCCCCATAAACTGATGCAGGCCAAGTTATGGGAATATCTAAACATTTCTTATCGTGAAACAAACTAGATTGCTCAAACTCTCGGACTACCAAACATTATTTGATATGAACAGAGCCGTCTTGGCATATATGGTTGCACACTTGTGTATAGCAATTTTATTTCCATTGTTAGATACCGTTAAACTTGCATCATTATGGGGCCGGTTAAGGCTAGCAGCAATTCTTTGAGGGATATATAAGTGGATTGATGATTCATCACTTGTGTAACACCGTGGAATGACCTAAAGTTTAGTTCTTACAGGAATTTCAGAGATATTCTTCAATCAGAAGATTCGAGCAGG